TTCCCCTTCTCAAATTTTCGTGCACCGCAGAACCAGGGAAATCCTTTCTGCTATCCAAGGCATCATAATGAGATCGATATTGTCTTTCCGAACATCGGCCTATCAATTGATGTAATTATCTGGAGTATTCTCGATTGAGCAGCCAGAAAGAGCGAACGTTGAGACCCCCACTAAACCCGTTTGGGATGTCAGTCATTTGCATGTGATCGAGCCTCTGATGGTAGACTCTCACTTGCTACTTATCCTCCTCGAGCCCCCACTGTCTCGTCCACACTAACTTCTCAACAGCTGCCAGATATGGCTGGATTCTTACGCTTCCTGGGAAGCTTTCCAATCCGCCGCCCTTCGTGTCCAGCGGCGGCGGGTTGCGGTTTGCTTTGTTTCCTAGGCGAAGGCCATGGAAGCTGGCCGGTGAGCTGCCAACTTCCTATATCTTCCACCTGTCCCCTCAATCCTCCTCGCGTTTTTCTTCTCTCTCCAGCTCTCACCGCAGAATTGACCAATTTGACACCTCATTTCTTTTCTTTTGTCTCTTAAGTACTGCCCTCGCGACTTAAATACCCCCCTTAGTCCTCCTTAATTATTAGCCGTCGACCGGTGGGCGCACTTTTCCTGGCCCTCGTACTCTTTCCTCTCCCCCTCCTCCGTCTTTCACCCCACGCGACCCCCACATCCATACACGATGACCATCATTGATGTCACCAAAGACCTATCGGCCCTGTTTTCCAAGCAGGTGCAGGCCACTCCCGATGCGCTGGCGCTGGAAGACGACAAGACCACATATACCTACGCAGAATTAGATCGGGCGGTCGATGCTCTGACTCGGCGACTGCATCACTACCGGGTCGGACGGGACACCCTGGTGGGAGTTTTGCTCCCGCGCAGCAGTGACTATGTCATTGCCTGTCTGGCTGCTCTCCGCGCCGGCGGAGCCTTTCTGGTGCTCGAGCTGGCCTACCCACCCGAGCTGCTGGACGATGTGATCCGCGACGGGAACCCCGCCGTCATCATCACCTGCAGGGCCGAAGTCGGCAAGATCAAGGCCGATGTCCCTCTTATCTCCTTGGATGAACCAGCCACGGAGACGAATGGGGTTGCCGATTTGCCTCCCCCGCCCGCAGATGACGATCTGGATCGTTTGGCATTCGTTTCCTATTCGTCCGGAACCACGGGCAAGCCCAAGGGAATTGCCAACCCCCACAGAGCCCCGGTTCTCTCCTATAACCTACGATTTGGCGTGCAGGACCTGACCCCCAACGATCGGGTCGCTTGTAATGTCTTCTTCATCTGGGAGATCTTGCGGCCCCTGTTACGGGGAGCGGCCGTCGTCGCGGTGCCGGACGACATCAGCTACGACCCCGCCGCCCTCGTCGACCTCCTCGCGGCCAAGCGCATCACAGAAACCCTCATGACCCCTACTCTCCTCGCGACCGTTCTCGCCCGTCATCCGCACATTGGCTCGCGCCTGCCGCATCTCCGCACGCTGTGGTTCAACGGTGAGGTGGTGACCACCGATCTCGCCCGGCGCGCCAGCCAAGCCCTGCCCAACACCCGCCTCCTCAATTGCTACAGTGCCTGTGAAACACACGAGATCGCCTGCGGGGATATCCGGGAGATGCTCGACGAGAAAGCGCTGTACTGTCCGGTTGGGCCTCCGATTGACCCCAAGAACACCCACATTCTGGACGATAACCGACAACCGGTGGAGAACGGGGTGAGCGGGGAGCTCTATGTGGCTGGTCCACTTTTGGCTCGCGGGTACCTCAACCTTCCCGAGACCACTGCCAAAGCGTTCACAGAGAACCCCTTCGATGCAACTCCGGGGTCCCGTCTGTACCGGACGGGCGATCTTGCTCGCCGGCTGCCTTCGGGCCTTCTCGAAATCACCGGTCGCGTGGGATCCATGATCAAGCTGCGCGGCTACTCCGTCGTGCCCGCCAAGGTGGAGTATGAGATCACCAAGAACCTCGCCGTTCGCCATTGTGCCGTGGTGGCCCATGGCGAGGGCCTGGAGCGACAGTTGGTCGCATACATTGTCCGCGACACGGATCACGCCACCGACCGCCCCGTGGTGGAAATCAATGAGGCGGGCAATAGCCCGGGCGCGCGTCGCACCCTCACCCAGGCCCTGGCACACTACATGATCCCGTCTCTCTGGGTGGAGCTGGAGGAGCTCCCCACACACGATGTGACGGGCAAGGTTGATCTCAAACGCCTACCTCCCCCACGCACGGCCGACCACGTCAACGGGAATGGAAAGCCCGTGGAGAAGGATTCGATCGGCATTGACCAAGTGGCTGCCATTTGGGCGGTCGCCCTTAAAACCGCGCGCAATCTGTTGAAGCCCAGCGATGATTTCTTCGATCTGGGTGGACACTCCCTGTCGTTGGCGGACCTCTCCTCGCGCATGTCCCGACACTTTGGCTTCCGCGTTCCGATCGCCCGGCTGGCGGAAAACGCCACTCTGGCGGGCCATCTCCAAACCGTTCGTGACATTCGCGACGGCCATACTGCCGCCGTTCAAGCCGATCTCCCCGCGGTTCTGCGGGCCGACGCCACTCTTGACGATGATATCCGACCGTCCAAAGCGGTCATCCGCTCGGTCACCGACGCAGACACGGTGCTCCTGACGGGAGTGACGGGATTCCTTGGCGCCTTCCTCCTGCACGATCTGCTCGAGAGCACCTCGGCGCACATCATCTGCTTAGTCCGATTTACGGACCCGGCGGATGATGACCAGCCCGGTGGTGTGGCCAGAATTCGCCGAAACCTCCTGGATCTGGGACTGTGGCGGGACTCCATCATGGAGCGCGTTGAGATCCTGCCCGGAAACCTGTCGCGGACCCGCTTCGGCCTCTCCCCAGAAGCCTTCGACGAGCTTGCCGCCCGCGTGCAGGTCATCGTTCATGCTGCTGCCACCGTCAACTTGGTCTACCCTTATGCGGCTCTTCGCGGGCCCAATGTCGGCGGTACGCGAGAAGTCCTCCGCTTGGCGTGCAAGGGTGGTGCGACCGTACAATATGTGTCCACCAATGGTGTGCTCCCACCGTCCGGAGAGAAGGGCTGGCCGGAAGACGCCATGCTCCCGGTGGACGACGTTCCTGACAAGCTGCTGGATGGATACGGCCAAACCAAGTGGGTGGCGGAGCAGCTGGTGCTCGAAGCGGGTCGTCGCGGACTGCCCGTGAAGATCCACCGTGCCGGAACCATCAGCGGCCATAGCCAGACTGGTGCTGCCAATGCCTGGGATTTGTTGTCGGCCTTGTTCGTTGAATCAATCAAGCTCGGCTACGCGCCTGAAGTGGAAGGCTGGCGAGCGGAAATGACTCCTGTTGACTTTGTCAGCAAGGCCATTGTGCATCTGGCCAGCCAGACGCACGCTGAGCAAACCGTGTTCCACCTCGGCGATCCGAACCCAGTCGATACACGGGCAGTCTTTGCATCTCTGAATGAGCTGGGCTACCCGACCAAGTCCCTGGCATGGGATGATTGGGTAGCACTGTGGAATGAGAAGCGCAGTGCGGTCAAGGGTGGAGACGGTGGTTTCACCGTTGATATCCTCCGCAGTGGCATGCCCACGGTGGAATTCCTCCGGGGCATCGTCGTGCTGGACAATGCGGCCACTCGTCCTTTCCGGGCGGTCGTGGAACGGCCCAAGGTCGACCGGGCTCTGCTGGAGACCTACACGCGGCACTGGTTCGCTCGAGGCTGGCTGCCGCGGCCGCCGCTTCGCCAGCAAGGTCTCAACGGGACCGCGAAGCCTGCCATCAAGGGTCCGCTTAGCGGAAAGGTGGCCGTCGTAACGGGTGCCTCTTCTGGCATTGGAGCCGCGGTCGCGGCCGCTCTAGGTCGAGAGGGTTGCCATGTAGCTCTCGCCGCTCGGCGTCTCGACGCACTTGAATCACTCAAGGCCCGCATCACGGCCCACGGTGGCAAGGTTATTTCCCGGAAGACCGATGTCACGAGCAAGGAGCAGGTGGACGCTCTTTTCAAAGCGGCCAACGACGAACTTGGCCCGGTGGATATTATCGTATCGTGTGCCGGAGTGATGTACTTTACCATGATGGCCAATGTGCAGACTGAAGAATGGGAGCGTACGGTCGACGTCAACTGCAAGGGTCTCCTCCACTGCCTCTCGGCAAGTGTGCCCGGCATGCTTTCGCGTGGTGGTGGTCACATTGTCGCGATCTCTTCCGATGCTGGACGCAAGGTATTCCCTGGCCTGGGTGTTTACTCGGCCAGTAAGTTCTTCGTTGAGGCGACGCTGCAGTCGCTCCGCTTGGAGACAGCAGGTATGGGCCTGCGTGTGACCAGTGTGCAGCCGGGCAACACGGCGACCGACCTCCTGGGCATGTCCACAGATGCCGAGGCCGTCAAGAAGTATGGCGAACCGTCCGGCGCACAGATCCTCGAGCCGGACAATGTGGCGGATTCCATTATATACGCCCTGCGCCAGCCGGCCCATGTCTCTGTCAATGAAGTGCTGATCGAGCCGCGGGACGAGCCGATCTAGAGGAGTGAGCATTGGAGCTTAGAAGTGATGAAGCCCTATGTCGGCTGCTGTTGATTGATTTAGATCGTTGTTATTTCCCATAGACATAGACACTGTCCCTATGGACATCGCTATAATATGCACGAATGAAATGATTTTTCGGTATTATTTATTACTGCTATTATGTAACATAGGAAATCTTAACCATGAAACATGTAGCAGTTGAGTATTAACTCAGTCTCGCTGGCCGCACATGGATCCATGTCAGTGGCTGAGTTGAGTAGCTGCGTGGCAGGTCCTGCTTAGCTATCCACTAGGACCGGACCAAGTTCATACCCTGCTTTCTATTGCTATTCTAGGGGATGGCACGTATCTTTATACAGGCAGCGGGGTATACATGTTCGAACAGGCAATAACTAAGCAATCATTACTATCACCGTATGCCACTGACATTCGGCTCCCGATCTCACTACCAATTCAAGTCACACACACGCCACAAGTCTTTGAGCTAAGGACACGGCAAGTAGACATCCATAGACCTCTGGTTCGTCAGATCCTGCCCCAGCTCGAAGCCACTACCCTTTCGCACCCCTTCGAAGTTATCTTCCACGAATTCAGCCACGTATAGACTGTATCGTAAGTACAACCCGACGGGATCAAACTCAAACTGGTGGTATCGGAGGACTATGCATATGCATATCAGCCAGAAATAACCAATGGGGAATCTCTCCAATCAAAACAAAGATAAATCCCACTCACCACGTGGTGACAACGGACCCCCGCCCTCCGGCCAAGTAAACAACACCCCGAATCGCTTGCGATGAGGGGGCGATGAGTCCCCGCTTAGCACTGTCTTCTCCGCTATGGTCTTAGCGATCAAATCTAACTTGGTGTACGTCCCGTGGGATAAACTGGAGGCCATCAAGTGTTTGCGTATGTCCTGATACAGACAGGTTTTGGTTTGGTGGTAGACCTTATCATCGCTGGGAGCTGTTTTTGTTGGTACGGTAGCTCGACTTGCGTGGCTAACCTGTTCATTAGGGGTTAGTCCTTATCGTACTACAATTAGGTATGTTCAATAGAGTGTTAGCGCCTACCACGATGCCTTCCGAAGCAAATCACCCAGAATCTCGACTCGCTCAGCACCCCGTTCGAATCCGGCGGATAGTGAGGTATCCGATGGTTAGGTCGTTGCGTTGAACCTTGTCATAGATATCTTTCTCCACTTCAGTAGTGAGCATGCAGCGGCTGGCGTTGAGATTGGACAAGGTGGCTTTATCATCGTGGTCGCTGAGCAGGTTAACGAAGAAAATCGTCTGGATGTCGTTGTCGCTGAGGGCGCGCTTGATGGCTTTGGTGGTGTCATCGTCGGTTTCCTGTTGGGATGGTGTAGGAGTGTAACGGAATAGGAAGTGAGGTGGGGATGTTGGGTTGTTGTGCACCATGTTGTCTGTCTGTAGGGCTCTGATCTCGTGGTTCATTTCTTCGACCTGTGGTATTGATTGGGGGTTGTTTGGCTGGTTTATAAATGGCTTGATGTCGTCACGATGCGGATAATGCTTCCTATGCATTATACGGAATGGACGTAATAACGTTCCTACCGGTTCGTAGTCTCTACCGTGGTGATTTTGTCATAGGTTGTCATTGCCATTTGGGTAAGAGTGGGGGAATCTCATAGTCACAGAAGTGCACTAAGCTCATATTATATACCCAAGCTGTGCTCCTTAGAGTACACCCCGTCATCAAGCGACTTTCCTCGGAACAGGTCACTGTACATACATTTTCAACATGCCAGAGATCGGCACAGTGTTTACTCTATAAACAAGGCTACCCTAGAAAATACCACTAAAAGTCTCGCGGCCGCTCATTCTCCTTCAGCTCCGGACAAAGATGATAGATAGGATCCATCTGTTCCACGTACCCACACGCCGGCTCACTCATGGCATAGCCCATGAACTCCAAAGTCTCGCGGTCATACCTGCGCGCGACATCCGCCGGAACTGCCAAGAACTGGTTCTCTTCCTGGCGCAGGTATCCTCGAACAACGAAAGTAGCGAACATCAGCCGGTACTCATCTTCGGTGATGTTCGAGCCCCCTCCATGGAATGCCGATGCTAGCATAATGAACCCATCGCCTTTTTCCATATCCGCAAAAATACATTGCTCGACCTTTGGAGGCGTAGTTCGCTCCGTGCCCCTGCTTGGCTGTCAGACACAACTATAGAAATCGATTGGTAAGAGTTGATTAACCCACCAAAGATGACTACGAGGAATAAACTGCGTCCCACCATTCTCCCGCGTGACGCGACAACCAGCTACAAAGAGGCCGACGGCAGACTCGCGCTCCATGTCTCGCATATCATCCCATTGCCCGATTTCAGTGTGATGGCGATGATTAATGTAATCATCCCGATGCAAGGGCTGCGCCTTGCCTCCGGGGCCGATTCTCATAGCCGTGCAAGAATGCACGTACGGCTTAGAGACAGATATCTTCTTCTCTTCACCCCACCAGTACCATCGTCTGGAGGTCAGGAAATGGTCGCATACCTGGTGAAAGAGAGGATTCATGACCTGAGTCTTGGTATAGGTCGGGCTATGCGCGATAAGGGATGGAGCACGTTGGGTTTGCGCTGATCGATGAGTTGTAGCGGTTGCAGGGACGAGAGGAAAGAGTTGACTCACCCGGGAAGAAAGAGCCATTCCATTCTACATCCGCATCTAGACGAGGTTTGGCTTCTTGAGAGGCTTGGTCGACATCTTCTTCTGAGATGAGGCTCTTGATGAATACACCTCCGTCTCGTTTGAGTAAGTAGATGATTTCCTCCACAGGGGTGTCCTTGGACACTTTTTGGACTTCGTCGCTGTATTTGCTGGGATCGACTGGCATGTTGATTGTGCTGGGTGGTACATAAAGACCAGATTTACTATTACTTTGGCAATAATCCAGCATATATAGTCATACTTGAACTTGACGTCTCTATGAAGAACGCCAGAAGCGGAGTGGAACCCCGCCCGGCGGTGGGAATTACCTAAGAGGGAAGTTTAGCCAGCCAGCCCGTCCAGCATTTCGCCACATCGCAACCCAACTTTGAGTGGGCTGAGGATCATTGACAGCCTAATCAGGGCAAAGGGAGAGGGAAATCTTGATTAGTCGAATATGAATGATGGGTATAAAATGCTAATGCAATCTCAGTATCCCCCGGATGCCTCCGCCATCGGCTTAAACTCCACCTCGACAGGCTCATTCCCAATTCCACGTCTCCTGGCATCCTCCAAAATTGCGACAGTAGCCGTGGCTCCAATGCGAGTAACACCCAAACTCATAACATGCAGCAGATCATCCAATGTACGAACTCCTCCCGCAGCTTTAATCTGAACCTTCTCGCCCGACTTCTCCCTCATGAGCTTGAGAGCTTGCACGGTGGCACCCTTGTAATTGTACGCACCATCGGGCTGCTTGACGAACCCATATCCGGTCGATGTCTTGACAAAGGCAACTCCAATCTGAGTACAAATCTCACATAGACGAGCAATATGCTCAGGTCGTAAGTAATCATTCTCGAAGATGACCTTCAAAATAGCCCCATTGGCAACCACAGCCTCGTTAATCTGGCGGATCTCCTCCGCCACATAGTCCCAATCCTCCCCAAGAACCTTGCCGACATTGACTACCATGTCGATCTCGGCTCCACCAGCCTTGGCTGCAGCGGTGGCTTCGAGGACTTTGATCTCGGTGGTACTGTTGCCGTGGGGGAATCCGATGACCGGACAGACCAGAACGTCTGATCCGGCGAGCTCTTTCTTGGCTAAGGGGATGGCGTACGGTTTGACGCAGGCGGTTGCGACATGATTGTCGCGGGCAATTTTGAGGCCGGCTATGATGTCGGCGTCGGTCATGGTGGGGTGGAGGAGCGAGTGGTCGATCATCTTTGCCAGCTGGGGCAGGGTGACTGTAATTTTGTGCGCCATGATGGAATATTTTCGATGAGATTGTGTTTATTGTTGTGGAGTATGTATGTCCGGGGACGCCTCGTTCTTATACCTGGACCCCGCAGATGTCTCCGGCGGAAGGCCTTCTCAATGCGGTAATTTGTTCCAACGGAGCCAATTGAAGGGTGTATCCGCACTCCAACTGTACACTCACATCGCAAAGATGATCCAAGCAATATAACTGCTCCCCTTCAGGATATATAGCCACCGCGGCTTGGGCCCGTATACTCCCCATGAAAAGGTGGACCTTCTATGCCCCACATCCAACTCTGCTCCAGGATCGGAAAGCCCTCGGCGGTCGGCCAGAATGACGGGTTTTCTGGGCTGCCATCAGAGCCTACCTGGGCTCGAGGGGCATAGTTTGACAGGGCTATAGACAGCATTAGAATTTATTGATAAGAGGTTTAGGGGCATACCTTGATCAAAGTCTTGAAGGGCAGCTGCTAGAGCAGGATCATGCATGTAATGGGCGGATCCATCTCCAGCTGGTATATCCGGAGCAATGGAGCCTACAACTGCTGTGGATACTCCAGTAGGATCAATGGCATTATTTCGAGCTGCTGGTTCATCGGAGACTTGGTCCGACATTCTCTGTCTTGATGAATAATGCGTTATTGTCGCCTCATTTGGATGCGCAGTGGTTGCAGAAGTAGACAATTCCATCATTACGCTGAGTTCCTTTTCCATGACCAATTTTACCAGGCGCTGAAGAATGGTCAGTCCCTGCTGCGCTGCAACTGAGTGTGATCGGAGCTTGTCCTGGATGCCGATCAACTTGCGGAGTCCGGACTTGGTCTTGGTAGAGTGTGGCCCTAGAGGATCCATGCTGCTGAGGATACAAAGGGTCACGCCTGCTGTAAATGTATGAATGCTAACGAATGAAGCCGCATATGTTTCCGAAACCACTTCTAGTAAGGGACTTGACAGAATCTCCGACATGCCGAGCGCTGCATCACGGCAAGCGTTCAAAGAGGCATTAAATGGGTCGACCGAACATGCAGCATCACCATTATACTTGCTGGTTCGTTCTCCAGCGGCCAGCGTGTAGGAAAGAAGTGGACGGTGCGTGAGAATGCGTGCGTTCTGATACGCAAGCCACAGAGCGAGAGCCTGAAGTTGATAAATATGATTCTCGAAGCGAGGCCCTGAGGCTCCAATATCGCGATCGACTTCTTCGGCAGAGGCATAATGAGACTGGTGAGCGACCCTGCGCCACTGGAGTGGTAGAGGAATATCTGCTTCCCAATGACGGAGTTGACTGTCGTAGTCGGCAACCTTTCGAACGACTCTTTGGATATCCAGTGAATCTGTATGAGACCGGCTAGCTGCATGCAAACGAACGCGATACAGATCATCCAAGGCTCCCTTGGTGATAGTAGATAGTTTGGTTATGAAGTACTTGTAGGAAAGTAGCGTTGGATCCGACGTCAGAGGTTCATCGAATGAACCTGGAGACTGCATATTTTGAAGTTTGGCCGATGGATCTAATGGTTCTACGTCGCAGTCGTCTTCGCGAATACTGTGCGGATACCCATATGCCACGGCAGAGAAAGTTTCAATTTCATACACTGCCCACCAGCATCTTTTCCGAGTTTCATTGCGAGTTCGGAAGTTTGTCGATTGAACGGGATTCTGTCGGCGGTGTAATTGTAGAGCCTGGGCGATACGAAGCCCACATCCGCATACTGGCCATGCCAGTCGTGGAGCACCATGGTATAAATAATACGTACCAAGGAGAATGCAGGTTTGAACTGCTTCTAAAGAGCCGAGGGACATGATGTCAAGAAGCCCCGATCTCACGGTAGAAAGAATGCGATCTCTGAGGTTAATGTCAACCCCATACCTCGAGAGAATCTCTCGCCGATGGGGCCCCGCGTACTGCAGCCCAATAGCAATCACGATTAGGAAGGTGCTGAGAAAGCCAAGATGATGGTGGGCGTATGTTGAAGACCTCTCAGAAGAGCCACTGTACAATTTGGGCCACCGCTGACGAAATTCGTCTTGATAGAAAACCAACATGAACCAGTGCGCTCGATCGAAATATGTATCTACGAGAAGACTGGCCGCGTCAAAGCTGGGTAGCAGGGAAGCCAAATCCCGTGTAACGGAAGAGAACGCATCATAAGGAGCGAGTACGGTTGAATCGGAAAGATCAGATGTCTCAACCTCAACGCTCGGTGAGGCAGATCCAGGCTCTCGCAAAGGGGCTCCCGGGAGTGCATCGGTTGCAGGTGGCCCCGGTGCCGCCACATTGTGGAGGCTGAATGCCTAATCGAATAGTTGTTAGATTCGCCCATGGTGCGAGTGACTACGGGGACCTTACCCCTCCCAGAAGGGATATAGTCGAGCTTGATATCCAGTCACGATCCTTTCGGTGCGATGGTGTCCCTGGAGTTGGAGTCTCGACGGGACGTTGGTCAGAACCGATGGCATGGGGTGAATCAGCATGGCGTCTCGGGGCACTTGTGTTTGGCGTCTGGACCGTTGGTGATGGGGGCGTATCCTGCGAATGCCGGTAGGGTCGCCAGCGGGTCGCCGAACCAGGAAGACAGCGGACCCCGGCGCGGGTGCAGAGGGTACAAGGCCGTTGGATGTCGCACTATCGAAGGGTGAGCGGATCAACGGGCGTTCCAGAGCTTACTCGTTTCAGCGAACCTTTAGCTTCTGACGTCGACAGCGCTGACATGCGCTGGGGACTTTGGCGGCGGGACTGGCCCGCAGATAAGGGCTATGTTCCATGATGGAGGGACGTAAAATACTTGGAAGATGATGTGAAAGCTGAAGCATGAAGATTGAAGAAGCAGAGAGTGGAAGAGTTGCCGAGTGGAGCAGTTTTCTCCACCGGAAGAGCCTTCCCAATGAGGTAATAATTGGTCCGTGCACGTGGCTCATCTCGCTTTCGATGCTGCGGAGTATACTGGTGATCTGTCTATACCTCTTTTCATGATAGTGTTTAAAGTTCTAGATACAAAGGACTTGGTGTCACAATGTGCATCATTTGGAACTGAAATGTCCTGCTAAAGCAATCATCTTGACCTCTAAGCATGGCCTGCTACCTGTCAAACTGCATATCAATTAACTCTTTCCGACATATAGATGAACACGATCGAGTAGTTGCGGAATCCGATAGGGAGTGGAATGAATGGAACTCCTGAGCGGCTACGAGTCTGACCCGTTCATCACATTGTTCAGCGCTTCGATTATGTCTCGCCGCGAGTCGTTGGGACTGTTGCTGCTATAGAACTCTAGCGCTTCCTGGTAAAGGTCCAGGTGCCCATCGTAATACCCTCGAGCATCCTCCATGATCTGCTCATACACAGTGATGTTCCGTTCACGGTACAGCCCTTCATCAGTGCAGTCCCACAACATCAACATGCCGTCCTTGGCGTCCCCAAAGATGTTGTATCGGGCATAGATGGCATCTCCGTATCGCTGCTCTGCAATGGCGGCGCAGTACTCGGTGGCCCATGGTTCCACCAAGTCCCAGGCAGTTCGATTGAGCACCTCCGCAACGGGCAAATCGAGGAATAGCTGCTCAGGAAGGAGACTTTGTCCGCCAGCTGCTGCTGTGATTAGGGTCGTTGTAATTAGAGAGAAAAATTGGTGGAAATGCATGTCAGCTGCAATGTGAAGGGAGCGAATTGACTTGATTTGCATTCTGGGGTAGGTCTAGAAACCCAACTTTGCGACCGCGGAATTTAAGCCAAGCCTACTTTAGGCTGCCACCGGTGGTTGGTTGCCTGATCTTCTGAATTCGACTCATCGCCATAACACTTTCATCCAGCAGGTCAATTTGACCATCTGACACTCGGGTTCATTCAGTTCGACATTTTGCCGCGTCTGGAAGAATAATTCTCAGTTCCATAAGTGAAGTGACGCGTGATATACCCTCTCACTTTTCCGGTCCCTCGCCAGGATGGCCAGTTGCGCTGAATCGGAAAGCGAATGTTTCTGATCCGTGGTCGCGCTAGTCCAGACACTTGATACATCCCTTGGCTGGCATTTGCGATCCTGAAATAATGCTCACATACACGAGGTCCAAGAGTTGGATTAAATAGCCCGACCGTGCCCTAGACACGGCCACATACCGACCGCGAGCGGAGAAGAAACACAACATTCCTCAGGCTCTACTTAATGGCTCGTGTCTCCCCACGATAACGAGCAGAATATCTGCTCCCTGACGTCTTCCAAAATTACACCAAATCTCTCATTATCCACCAGTCATGCGTGTGGTTGCCATTGTCACCGCGCTCGTCTCCCTTGGTACCCTGGCAGCCGCCCAGGCTGTCCGGCGCGGAGGGCCCGATGAGTTCACTGCCCTCGGCTGCCCCGACACCACCAAGCCGGAGGCCTCCCAGGCCGAACAGCTGGCCGCCTGGGACGACTTCACCAATCTGCTCTATACCGAGAAGCGCCTCACAGACGCCTTCACGAAATATGTCGCGACTGGTTACATCAATCATTCGCCTCTGGTGACTGGGAATGGCATCGACACTACTCTGGGCGAGTTGTCCGCTATCGTCCCCAATGTGGAATCTCAGCTACAGCGTGCGTTTGTCGGATGGGATAAGAACGGCACTGCATATGGAACTGCTCATACCAAAGTCATTGGAAATGCGACCATGGGGATCCCCAATTCGGCCTTGGTGGACATGATCCGCATGGTGGGTACGTGCTTGGTGGAACATTATGACGTGCAGCAAGCCGTGGATGGCACTGCGCCGAATCCCATCGCTTTCTTCTAAAGGCCTGAGCTACATGTATTGCGTCGGTGAAACCATTGAGATTACGAGACTCGACTGCAAATACAAGTTTCTGTACGATTATATTCAGGGTGGCACATGTGAAAGAGGACATTGGGAACGTGGAAGGAATGTCATGTATCATAGGATTTTCTACTAATCTCTGCTCCTACATCATATATTATTTGAGATGTATCCACTGCATATAACAAGTCAGGAGGTCTAGTGTTCAACAAATGGCTGCCCTGAATGAGATCAGGTCGGATATCCTATCCGAAACCCGAGCGCATCACCAACTGCCTTGCTTCCCAACTTCGGTGAGCCGAGAACAGGTTGTGCTTTGCAGGGCAGCTGTGGTTATCAGCCAACGTCTCTCATGCAATCCGCTCTTCACATGAACACAGACAGTTAGGCAGAAGTGGAGCTTCAGGATGGGAAAGGATCTCCTATCCATCCACTCCGAATACCCCGCGCGGGGTTGTAGTCGCAATAAACCCTCGGCTTGTTTCATTCCCGAGCCATAAATCCGTGGTTCTCTCTTCCCAGTCGGATCCCTCCCCATAACCTCAGCACTTATAACCGTCTACATAGAAACACTATGGCAGTCGAACAGTGGGAGACAATTGTGCAACAGAAGCAGGCCGACGCAGCCGCAAAGATCCCCAAGGCATGGCGGCTACCGGCTGAGTTTACGGAGAATGTGTCCGAAACAGCCGCCACCAATGTGCTCGATGTGCCTCGCAAATGTGGCTTGTTGTCTGCGAAGCAATTGGAAATTACTGAGAACTATGACGCCACGGCCTTGCTCGAGCAGATTCACTCCGGAAAGTATACTGCCGTTGAAGTCGCCGAGGCGTTCTGCCTTCGGGCGGCCATCGCACAGCAAGTGGTAGGAGAAATTCTTCGATAGTTAACCATGATGCTATACTTATGGTCGGATATAGACGCACTGTTTAACAGAAACTTTCTTCGATCTTGCTTTGGAGCGAGCAAAGGAGCTGGATGAGTACTTCCAGTCTACGGGCAAGGTCCGTGGACCACTGCATGGTTTGCCCATCAGTCTCAAGGTAGATCAACTGTCGCCAGAACAATAACCGCATGAAATTTGACATTATCAGGACTGCTTCAATGTTGCAGGAGTTCCGAGCACCATCGGCTTCACTGCCTTCGTCGCACATGGTCCCGTTAAGAACAACTCCTCCGTCGTCCAGATTCTCCTGGACTTGGGTGCGGTGCTCTATGTGAAGACCAACATTCCCCAGACAATGATGGTATAATTGCCTCCAACGCTATTATCACCAATTACTCACAGTATTCAGGCTGCCGACTCTCACAACTACGTCTTCGGTCGCACCCTCAATCCCAACCGAACCAGCCTCAGCGCTGGCGGATCGTCAGGTGGTGAAGGTGCTCTAATCGCCATGCGCGGCTCAATTCTGGGCGTAGGCACCGACATCGCAGGTTCCATCCGAATTCCCGCAATATTCGACGGAACCTTCGCTCTACGCCCATCCATCCACCGCATCCCGTACGGAGGCCAGACAGGCTCCGGACGCAAGGGTCTCGCTGGCATCAGACCCTGCGCCGGCCCACTAGCGACCTCAGTGCGCGACCTCGGTCTATTCATGAAACTAGTCGTGGACGCCGACCCCTGGCAATATGACTCCTCAACCATTTTCAGCACCTGGCGTACCGCTCCCCCGAAAGAAACTCTCCGACTTGGCTTCATCCTCGAAGACCCCCACTTTCCCGTGCACCCTCCCATTCTCAACACCCTAACCCGCGCAGTCGACGCCCTGAAAGCCGCCGGCCACGAAGTCATTAATCTAACCACCCCTTCCCTGAAAGATGCCCTCCTTCTCGGCTTCCGAACCTTCGCTATGGACCCGGCACGAACCGCTTTCAGCCACATCACCAAGAGCGGCGAGCCACGCATCCCTGCTCTAGCCACTACCGACCTACCAAGCGCGGATTTGCCATATGAATGGGCCCCGCATACGCTCGAGTCACTCTATGATTTGAACGTGCAGCGGGAGACAATCTGCGAGCAGTTCCGACAGCTGATCGTTCAGAACAAGATCGACGCGATCATCATGCCGGGGTATCAGGGCACCGCGGTGGCGCATGATGCAGTGGGATGGGTGCCGTATACTGTTTTGGCCAATGTTTTGGATGTAAGCCAAGTGAATCCCGGGTAAATGTAACTCGTCTGACAATTACAGTATCCGGCTACGATTATTCCGTACAGAAAGGCAAATAAGGCCGATGACGCCAAGTACGTCAGGGATGTGACGTACCGACCTCCTTGTAAGTTCTTCCCTAAAAATCGTTTCGAAAAAATTAGTTCTAACGCTTCGCAGATGTCGCAGACGATGTCGAGGGGGCGCCGTGCTGTGTGCAGCTTATGGGCAGAACAATGCACGAGGAGGAGCTGCTGCGGGATACTGCGACCATTGCCAATGTTCTGGGGAAATAGAGTGAACAGTTAAGCAAATGCGATAGGATAGCTAGAAGTGGATGATCCAAATCATATTACTACTTTTTTCCTTTTCAAACGTAGCAATTTGCAATTGTGAACATTCTTTATTTAGTAATACGTCACTTTGCAAGCCTGGTAGATTTATAATACATAACACATAACATCGAAGCTAGTACAGGGGCAGCTTGTACGCATCAAAATCATACACCCAAGTCTTGTACGACTCCTCATCAAACACACAGTCCATGACAGTGCCATTGTTCTTCCACAAGGGGCGCAAGGGCCACGCGCACAGCTGCTGCTGCTCACCCTTCCGCTCACCTGCCAGCACGGTGGCATTCAAGCGGGTTGGGAAGACGCCTCCCTCGACCCACTGGATGAGCGTCTCGAGGGTGGTCTGCGGGAAGGGGCCATTAGGCTGGGTGGTACTAGACGCACAATGCGCAGCACCAGGGATCAGATACAGCCTGTTCCACTCATTCAAAGCCTGGGAGCTCTCGTTGAACGACATGCCGGGATACATGATCTGGCGGACGGATTCGTGGTAGTGCACGGACGAACAGGTCGGGATACTGGGGTCGGACTCTCCATGCACATGAATGATCTTTCCTCCGGCCGATTGGAAGGGGGTCAAGTCGGGCCAGGTGGTCTGGAGGCTGTCCTCGTAGCGCTGCCATCCAAGCTCCATCCACTCCTTCAAGGTATCGTACGTGACGTTATCCAGGCTGGAGAGGTTGTCTGCATCGCGCAGCTCCAGGAAGCGGGCCACCCATTCACCGCCCAGGGAGGTGATATCCAGCTCCCACTTTCCGGTGTCGTAGTTGTACTGGGTCTGGGCATCGTCGAAGGTGGACGAGGGCTGGTACCAGATGTAAGCACGGCGGCCGTCCAGGGTGCGGAGCCCGTCGAGCATCTTGCTGGCTGCGGCAGCTCCGATAGCAGAAACAGTACCGTTCTGTGCGGGGGTGGTGTTGGACATCGAAGTGCGCTTCTTGAGGACTGTGGTGGTGGTAGATGCCGGGCAGGAGTAAGGAGCACCAACGGTCGAGTTGACGTTGAAGTGCAACTTGCACAGATCGGTACGAGCCACCACGCCATCGACACGGCCATCAAGGGCATCGCAGGCCGCAATGGTCAAGTTGACGATCTTTTCCAATTCGCAGGTAGGAGGGTAGTAGCCCAGAGTGTGTTCAACTACGTCAGGGTAGAGGTGGTTCACTTGTTGCTGGCCGTACCGGAATGCAGGGGCACCGATAACGGCTCCATCCCACTGGTCTGCATAGCGTTGCACCTGGCTCCAACCTTCGCGGCCACCCTCTGAGCAACCTTGGTAGTAGGCGTAGATCTTGGAGTCACCCAGACTGTAGAAGTTGCGGCTGAAGGCTTTTCCGACGATTGTAAGTTCGTGATGAGCGAGGTAGCCAAAAGAATACAATGCCTCATAGTTGATGGTACCATTGGCTTCGAGGAAAACGGCATCAAATTGGGTATCAAATCCTCCAAAACCACCATCTGTGATACCCGCAGCAGCTCCATACATCACACCACCGGGAAGGGAGCTGGTGCCGGAGTTGATGGCGAAGCCTCCACCGCCCGTGGACAGCCACCGGTTTTGATAGTCCTCGGGAGCGGGCAACCAGAGCTCCAACAGCAGGGGAGTATCCAGACCCGGCCGGGTGTACGAGAGGGTCACGTTGCAGTAGCTGTAGGAGGCGGCAGGGTAGAAGTAGCTACCCGACGTGGAAGCATTGTAGACAGCACTGGCGGTGATGGATGAAGTGTCGATTTCAAGACCTTCAATTTCGTCACTGCTGGGCAAGGACGACTTTGCATGGCTAGTGGTACAGACATCCGCCAAACTGGCTGCCTGGGACAGGGCAATGGTCGTGGCCCCGGCCAGGACCCCGAGAGCAGCTCTCATGATGAGTGGGGTCCTTGTATGTTATAGAGAAGAGGAGAAATGTAGGTTGAGAAGTAAGTGTTAGAAGCCCGCCTGATAGAAAGGAAGCAGCTGAGATGATGCCAGCGATGCCACTACTTATAATGTTCTCGATGCCTTGGTTCCGTGATCATCTCAGTCGTCGTTCGGAAATTATTGTTTGGAGTAAAGGCCAAGGATCCAATCATCATCAAGCCATACGTGCACGAGAAGGCCGATCCCGGCTCATTTGGGCAGGTTGAGCTGTTGATCTCGCGTTTCGTGTATTGAACCAAGCTTCAACCGGGTGATTTACACTAAAAGAGGTGACGTTGTGTGTCGCGTCCCTCACACACTATCCAGGTTAATAGCGAATAGGGTGTTCGGGATGAATTGCGGAAGCCACATTTCAATATCATACAGTTTCTTCAGGTTGGCCTAGAGATGTGCTCGGAACGTTTCCTACCACCAATGAAGTCGTTCATTTCTCGATGCTACTCCACTCAGATTGTTGGCCAAGACACGAAAGCTGCATGCATTGACATCTTGAGCCAACCGCAACAGAAGTGGATGCTACTAAGGTCGCTGCAGCAACTGGCATTGCGTGTATTCCTCGCCGGGGTGCGTACGAAGGATTGCAATTTAGGAGGATCGACAGAGCGACGGGAGAAGAGTTATCCCCACAAATCAAGGGTTTGGATTAGAATCTTGGCAAACTATCTCGGAGGTTGGCTACAATGCAGTCAGTGATGGTGTTGTTCTGCGGACTCCGAGAGCGTGATAGGGCCTTGCAGGTAACCATTATGGTCCTGGAAAGTAAATTGCCAAAGTGATTGTAGAGAATTTCGAGAGCAGTTCACAGTTATGCAAACAGGTATTGGCCTTGCATGAGTCTGCAGAAACGACCCCTGAGTGTCTGCAAGCCGAGAGGGTGTGGATATGGAGGAAGTCGGGGGTAACCGACTGAAATGGGGAATCTCCGCCGACCTCGGCTCCAGCTGCCCCGGCCGGTGTCCGGAGCCAGACCAATCCGGTGATTGCGGGTGGTTCCTCCGGCTTTCGCTCGCCGGTCTGATGCCGACATTCCCTTCGCAACACCACTCACTACTATCATGGCATCCAGCAACAAACCACACTCCTGACCCCGAGGTACTCCCGTCTATCCTTTCTATCGGCCCGTCCCTTAATAATCTCCCATCGCATCCCGTGCTCGTATCGAGTCCTACTGTCCTACCTTTCCTCTATGCGACTTATCACTCTTCCCCTGCTGAGCTTAGCAATCCCGCTCTATCCGGTTCCGCATTGATTCTAGCATCCTCCAGTCGGTACTTAAAAGATAGTGCATGCTCCCTGGCTAGCAGCCCCACCTCCAAGCTCATTTATTCTACAATTCTACCATGGTGGGACCGCGTGGTCTGACGGCGTGGAGTGATGCCTAAAAGCTGGTTTCTGACCCTCTTACTAATTGGATAGGACCCCGTGACGCCAGAGTTAACCTTGAGGGTCCGGCTGCTTATAGGTACAGGGGACGGGCATTCAGCACGGCCAGGGTCCCCGGCCTGAATCTCGTTTGGACTTATCGACCGAGCACCGTGTTCCGATATTGATGAAAAACGAGGAGTACTCGCTGCTATAGGATCAGGTACAATCAGCCAGATGTTGCATTCTAGTATCGCATTCGCATTTCGAGGTTAAGGCTCCGTTTGTCAGGAGCGAAATTCCCCGGTCCCCGCATTCTACACCGTTGGGGTGATGCCTTATTCTCCGATAGATTGCGGGATTTCGGGATAAATATATAACCACCCGCCCGAAAGTATATTGTTGATGGAGTATGGAGTGCTACTAGTCCACATTTTAAGCATGAATTAGTCCCTTACTGACGTCAGTTAGATCTTGCAACCAATCATTCTCTCAGTGCGGTTCTTTACTTATATAAAAGGCGGTCGGAAATTCCCCGTTGCGAATACTCAACATCGTCAACATCTCCCTATTTGGCTCCGTTACGTAACCAATATACCGGGTTGCACACTCAAAAGGTTGGAAGGCTTTACAGTTCTATAAATCACTTTCTTCTATCGCCGTACCTATGAGCAAAAAGCAAGTTTGAATGTGGCCACGAGTGAACATGTAATTTGCCTCTACATTCACCGCGAAGAGGTAGGTTCATATATGGCGCCGATCGCAGATAAGCAGTCACAATGCACAAAGATTCCAGTAAACCTGGAATCAGCGGGTGTTCCAGAAACCCTTTCAATCGGTCGCTGCTCGGAGATGTCCGTTGCAGTGTCAACGTTGGCTGGTGTATCTCCCCAGTAAAGATGCCGGTCATACTCGAAGGGCTCACGGTCGGGGTCTCTGAGGCTAAGACATCGAACTGTCTTCTTCCGTTTGACCTCAAACTGGATCTCCACTAGTGCAGTGCCGGATATCTTGGCTGACAAGCCGATGATAGCATCATCTCTGAAGAAATCAACACTTTGACGTGACATGCAGTCACGTATATCACCAACAGCGGCTTGATGGGTTGACGCATAGGTAAACTTCAGTCCACATAACTGTCTGTCGTATATATAGGCTGTTGCCTTGACTATCTTCTTTCGCTGGGCATAGCCTTCTTGACCCATAAAGTAAAGCTTCCTTACCCGATCATATGGCGGAGTGGGAGTTGGTTCGAGGGTTCGAGGTCTCTGATTTCGGTACGGGGAGATGACCGCGCGAATCCGATCCGAATCCGCGCTGACTACCCATGAGATAGCCGTCAGCTCCTCGTCAGTGTCACTCAGATATTGTGACTGTATGGCTGCGCCGGTCTGAAATGTTTGAGTAGCAAACGTCGCTCTGTGCACCCCTGTGTTGATCCATATAGCGGCAATGTTGCCTGTACTCGACTCAGGAGACTGGGAAATCCATGCATCCAGGCCAACCCATACAGTAATCGATATGACTTCCTCACCTGGAGATAGTCTAAGGGCTGCATTGCTTAACGGACGTATCCACTGCCCAACAACGCTTGGAGTGGGGTGGTTATAATAGTCGATTTTCAAACCGGTGATCCAATGTTTAGAGCGGAGATAGCCTTTATCACCTGTAGATGCGGTGATTTTGCGAACTCCCTTGAGTGATGCATAGGTTTGGTAGTATTTCATATCGTCCTTCTCGCCACTATCTTGGCGCAACATCAGATCATATTGTACCTGTTCTTCCGGCACCCGATGGCATTCAGCGTTCAAATTGTGCGGAATGGCGGGTGGGGCATCGCATTTTTGAGAGTGAATTCGAAGTTGATCGAAATACTTTCTGTATGCCTGTCCTTATTCAGCTACTATCTGGACGGATTGAGAGGGTTCTACATACGGCTGGCTGAGCAACGAGTCCTGTGATGGTATGTCCCGTTGGCACACCTGGTATCATTCGGGCGGATGCATTGAGATGATGTGCGAGGGGGGCAAAGGTGGCAGTTCGTCCGTAGTTGGTCGAGACCTAGACCGTGGTCAGCATTTTTGAAAAAGCCCGGAGACGATATAAAACAGACCTCGAGCCCGACCAAGCGAACGGCTCGGTTGTGATAGCGGTTATCCCTCAGAATCCTTATTTGCGTGACACGCTCTCCCTGCGGGCCATTTATGGCAAGTGACATGACGTTCTCACCAACAACGCCACAACTCAAAACTTTGCCGTCAGAGTAGTGTGCGACCATTCCAACAAGCGGATGGCGGTAAAATCTCATATGGAAGTCAAGACATTGCAACTTCTCAAGACCGCTACCCCCACGGAAGCCAAAGTCAAAATGCAATAGTGGATTGAAGGGTCCAGAGGGCCTGCAAGGGAGCAAGGGGCTTATGATTGAACTCCCGTATAGTGGAACAGGTGGCATCCAGAGATGAGATGCCACACGTGCATAGCGCGTTACGGCCGCGGAAGAACGGGGTGATCTCGAAGCACGCTCACCGGGTTCAGCCATTTCGCCAAACCCAAGTGCAACAATTTTGAATCGATCCAGGCCTGCTAGTAAATAGTACGGCACCTTTCCACTTGGAACCAACAATAAGCCGCGAGCTATTTTCTTGACGTTAGGCTGGCCAACCCAGGCAGACTCTCTCGAACCAGTGTATAGTATACGGATAGCCTTGAGCCCTTCCGGAGAAAAGTGTACTTCGAAAGCCCTGATGCGTTTGTACCTGGGTACGTCAATCCATTTCTCGGTATCTGGGTTGGGGTATCCAATTGATTGACTGATTCCGCTTCCATCACTTGAGGGGAACAGTTTGATACCAGATATGAATTGATTTGAACCAAATTCGACAGTCGAGATACCAACCCGGAGTGGACGACAATCCCGCAGACCCACGAATAACTGTGCCTTTCGGTAAAGTAATTCACATTCATCTTGGACGGGATAATCTCCCTCGGGAGATGCTACCTGGCCAGAGAAAAAGGCCATGACTTTTGCATGGTGATTGCCTCTCCTGGAGATCCCTATATTCACTAAGACAGGAACATTGCGTTGAGACTTCACCAGAGAATAGGTGAAACCTTGCCCACCATTCCGTTTAGTAGGCTCTAATTCAACCAGAGATGCAATCGGCTCCAATAGCTCACAGATTTCTTTTCTATGGGCTAGGGGTCGCGATGGGCCATATGAAGCTGCCTTCATAGCGGAGTAGAGCCTGAACCAATTCCGTGGGGTACAGAGGCTGGGGAAAATATAATAAAACTCCTGGCCGAGCATAAATCTACTCCGCCAAAAGGACGGAGGAAGCTGTTCGTTGCTAGCCAGCCAACCTAGATATCGGCATGTAAGTCTTATTTTGACGACATCACGGATGTCTAGGTAAGTAAAAACCTCATATATCGTTTCCTCCGGAAGCATTCTGATAATACCGGCCCCTGACTCTCTCCAATATGCTCGTGTCCCGGTGTCACTTTCCAGCATCATATCCTCTGGCTGTGTGGTGTCCCGTCCATAATGCATTTCCGCATACACACCTCCCCTTACTGTTTCCATTATTTCCAAGGAGGGAAATGCATTCGGGTCAGCGGTTTTATATAACCACCTACTATCGTGCGGACCGGGGGCTTTGGGAGCAGGACTGTTGTGGAGTTGGAAGTAGACTGACCTCACGATGGTTGGAACATCTATGGAGGCATTACCTAGGCGGAGCCTCTGTAGAAGGAAGTTCCAACATGAGTTGTGAAACGCAAAACACCACCAAGTTGTCGAAAAGTCGCGGATCGCCCATAGGTTAAGAGCATTGAAGTCGTCCACCTCGAAATAGGCTTTGTCTGGGTCGATTGATGCATGAAGAATATTGTCGTGGCGTATCACGCCGACCCCGGTGACCGCGATTTCGTCCAAGTCACCTTCGACTGCATAAAGACCCCGGACTTCTGTGAACCACGGACGAGTCCTCCAACGCCAAGGCCCTGGATGGTTTCGCTCCCAGTCCTGCTCGAGAAAGGTCTCACACAGCGGGCAGATCAGTTTGGGCGGCATTGTCCTTTCAATATAAGCACGGTGAATGCCCCGAACAGATATAACAGAGGCCCAAGTGCAATTCGAAAAGTCTTCAGCAGATGATGCAATTGAATGATCCCCGAGTTGAGCTATGAAGGGTCATTGAGGAAAGAAACATGCAGGAGAAACGGGCAGGGAGAGGAGAATTTAAGCTGAGTTGCATCAACCATATTCTCTCCCTTTCATAGGAAAAGTCCAATTGATTCGTTCAGATTCGCCGGGAATACGTCACGGCCTCATCGCTACCTAGCCTTGTCAATTGGTGAAGCTCTACAAATTTCGTGTATTCGGAAGTTTCATGGCTGTCTGATGCCTTCAGTGACCACATGAGCCTCAATACAGCCGTTCAACCCGAGATGACGTTGACTGGGCAGCGCCTAGTACTTCATGAAGGAAGATTGCGCGGTTACGATAGTCAATGAGGCAGGAGACATGCGCTAACTTTCGCCCAGGCGATCTGAATATGAGAATGAACCTATAACGTATGACCCTGAGCTGCGGCAGACCCCACTTGAGGATGATTTATTGGGGATGTCTGAATGGCCCATCGTCTGGCCCGCTACCAGGCTGTAAGAAGTCCGTACGATGGATGTCTATCTTTCAGCCATTCATGCCCTTATGGGTTGATAGTATGGAGTAGTTATGAAGCGCCTTCGCACTTTGGACTCTTTCCTATCATCTTTGTTTATTATCACTCTGCTGTCTGGGCTATATAATTGACACGGTATCTATTTCAGACGAAAGTTTTTGCTTCGTTAAACTAGGTGAAACCATGACCACTGCTTCCAATAAATTCCTCAAGACCAACCTCGCTACCTGTATGCAATACACAAGACCGAGAGTAACAGCACCGACGAGAACGTCTATTACATTTGGCAGGCGATAGCAGTATACCGGTCTTGATCCAAACGTAATCGCGGGTATTGCTGTCAAATCGCGGTACCCAAAAAAGTCATATGCTTCGCCTTGCTATTATTCAATCAATGCCCCCAGAAGTACTCGAGGACCCTTCGCTCTGGTCACAGATATTTACCGTCAGATGCAAGGGTCGACCCGTAGAGACTTCAGATTGGTGGGATGGTATATATGGGCATCAATTTGTGGAAGACCTTCGCTGCATGGTGAATGACGAGTCGGGAAAGATTTATGCAGCATTGTCTATTCATTAGAGTGTGAAATACTACCGGTTCGATGCGAAGGCAACACCCGGGGAAAGGCTTACTACACTCCACGACGAAGCCTTTGATGTGATCAAGCAGGGGGATCTCACCGAGGTTGAGAGAATGCCAGATCATGTCATAGAGAATAGACTGCAGTGAGCTCGAAAGGTGTGAATATGCTGGACCAGGCTTGACGGCAAGATCCGGTAATGGCTATGGCTAGAATATTATGATCATTCTATTGGTCTATGAGGCTATGACTGTCTGGCCAGAAAATGGGGGATGTCCATCATGTATGTATCCAAAGCATAAGAATCCAATACAAGTCAATATTATGGAGTTATGCAATACACACATAAGAAAAGTTTCATGGAACTTTCCACACCCAACTACCGCTCCGACTCCCCAATCACGCTCCTAGGCACATGCTCATCTTGCGAGCGATCATTCAGTGACGCCTCATACTCCACACCGCGGCTGCCACTCTTGGTGGGTACCAGGTGCGTAAGAGGCATCTCACTCTCTGTATCCCGCATCCGTTTGAACGCCGATCCCGAAGCACCGGATTGAGCTCCAGTTTGCGACGAGTAAGCATTCTTAGCAGATGAAAATATACCTGGAAATGCTGCCTTAAATACAGGACGCATCATGGGCACACAGGCATTGGTAATTGCTAGTGCAGGTTCTGTGACACTCCAGAAGGCGGCCCAAATCATGCTGTACGAAAGGTCGGTGAAGTCGACGGTGGTGAGGACGTGGATACGGATGATGGTGATGGCCGAGATGCTAATAACCCACTGTTAGTTCCCAACGATTTCTACAATCCACGTTTCAGTATGTTGGAGGTACTCACAACAAGCCTACGCCAAATATACCGTACAGAGCCACTTTCGTCCCGGTCGACATCTGCAGTTTCCAGATATGGTGAACCGGTAGAGCCATAATTAGGAGGTCTGTCATGAGATTGAAGGCACCAATGGTCGAAAAGGCGACGTTCATGCTAGCGCAATGACCAGGCAAAGCAGCGTTCCAGTTTTTCGCAAAGGGTTGACAGATGAGGAAGACCTGAAGCATACTTCCGAGCCAGTAGGCCCCCGCGCAGCCCATGCACACTCTAGCAGCCATGCGAAATCCAGGAGTCACGAATATTCGAAGATAGAAGAACAAGTAGGAGAACTTGGCGGTGACCATGGCGTTGTAATAGACGATTTGGTAGACGATAAGCATCTGGTTTATTTAGCGTGGGGATCAGAGCGCACGACAAGCCTTCATATCGAACCTTAAAGATCAAGATGGTATTTACGGCAGGAAGCTCGGTAACATGGTGCCGCATGCCGACCCGTGCATAGTGGTACTGCATGGCTAGCATACCATAAGTATGCAGCTAGATTGCGAGTTAGTGCCAAGTCCAAATCACTGTCTTAGTTCCGCAGGTGACCGCACCATGGACACCACAATAAATGCATCGTCCCACCAGAACTTGCTCTGTCTGATCTTGCGCGACATGAACCGCAGCCCGATTGACGCTGTGCTCAGTGCCACCAGCACGGTATTGGCGATCAGCTGGTCGCGCACAATGGGGTGCTCAAAAACATTGTAGAACTGAATTGCCATGCCGGTGTCGTGCCCCCGGGCATCATGGGAGCTGTGACGGATGAGAACTTGGCCAGACAAGTTGGAATTCATTTTACACGGGCGTGCAAGGCTGGTGATACTTGAAGGGGTCAGCGACGCACAGTCCAAAAAGCCTTGCCGGTCCAGACAACGACGATCCGGCTTGTGATCGTCACCAGGATGACTAGGTTCGGAATGCAGCTGTCAGCTCCAGGCTCGTCAGTGAATCTAGTAGGTTAAGCGGGACCCGCCAGGATCTTTGGCGCGACGGCGGCGCTCTATACTGTGGATTAGTAGGGCTAGTCCGCGCAGCTAATCGACTAGTTCAAACGGCGGCCGCTGTCATTCACTCCACCAGAGCCAATCCAGCAATCTCCTGGCCAAATGCCGAATGAGCACCGTTTGGGGGCCGCTCTATCTGCTCCACTGTGGCATCGCCAATCCCAACTTACCTTTATTACCTTTAGTTCGAGTTCCATCAGTGCACTTGGCCCGTCGAGGCAGGAGTCGCAAAACGAGGCCTCCTATTTCATTCCGTGCGGCCCTGCCGACCTGCTTGTTTTTTCCCTCCAAACACGCCAATTGACATATCCCTCACCATGACCGGTCTGAAATCCTACGACTATATCATTGTTGGGGCGGGAATTGGTGGGCTGGTGCTCGCCTCCCGCCTTACCGAAGATGCCAATGTGAAGGTGCTTCTTATCGAAGCCGGTGCCAACCGCATGGGGGACCCTCGCATTGAGACTCCCGGTTTCTTGGAGACCATGTATGGCAATCCAGATTTTGATTGGGATTACATGAGTGAACCGCAGGTAAGGATTCGGCGTCTCAGCCTCGGGATTCTCATGTCGGTACTTGGCTAACCCCTGTTGCAGGTGCATGTCAACAACCGCCAAATTGCGCAGCCACGTGGCCGTGTGGTTGGTGGCAGCTCCACCATGAACTTCTCCGTGATCATGTATCCCTCTGAGGCCAATTTCGCCGCATGGAAGTCGCTCGGCAACCAGGGTTGGGGGCCTGAAGACATGGCGCCTTACCTGCGCAAGTTCCACACCTACACTCCACCTTCTGAGGAGACTGCCGCTTTTCTCTCTTTGGATAAGTACATGAAGCAGGAGAACCAAGGCAAAAGCGGTCCGGTCCCTGTCACTTTGCCTAATGTATATGGTCCCTTCAACCAGGCCTGGGATGAAACCTTTGGCAACCTGGGATGGCGAACCGATGCGGATCCCATCTCGGGCCGCAAAATTGGTGCATTCACTTCTCCCTTGTCTGTCGATGGGGCCACCGGCCGTCGCGGTTATGCCGGTGCCTACTACTCACCGAAGGTGGCAGAGCGACCGAACCTGGACCTGCTGGTCGAGACCATGGTGGAACGAGTTCTGTTGACCAAGGATGCCGATGGTCTCGCCACTGCGACCGGCGTGCAAGTAAAGACCAAATGCGAACAGAGTCGCGAGATTGTGGCAAATCGCGAGGTGATCATCTGCGCAGGCAGTCTCAACTCACCCCAGATTCTTGAACTGTCGGGTATCGGAAAACGCGACCTCCTGGAGAAGCATAACATTCCCGTCATCGTTGACCGGCCCGGTGTTGGTGAAAACCTCCAGGATCACTGCCTAGCAGCTGTCAGCTTCGAGGTTGCGGATGGACAAATCTCGGGAGATATTACGCGTGATCCCAATGTTGTGCAGTCATTGATCAAGCTCTACGAGGAAACGCACTCCGGTCCTCTTGCGGGAATGCCTGTCAGCATGGCGTACCTTCCCCTGATGGATCATGACGGCCAACTATCAAGCGAGAAAGTGGAAGAGCTCCTGACCCAGCATCTCGACCAGCATATGCAGGATGCGTCATCTCCCCAGCAGCAGCAGTACGCTCTCCAACGCGCGCTTCTCCAGGAGGGCCCCAACGCCTCGGCACAATACATGTTCCTCCCCATTCAAGTGCACATGAACCCAGGCAGAACCACCATGTCAGATGTCCTTGCCAAAACCCTTCCCGGAAACTACATCACCATCTTGGTCCTGCATAACCACCCCTTCTCCCGCGGCTCCGTGCACATCCGTTCCGCCAATGCGGACGACAAGCCCATCTACGACCCCAACTACCTGTCCCATCCACTTGACATCGAAATTCTTGCCCGGCACGTCCAATACCTCGACCAGATCGCCGCCACCGAGCCGTTCTCAGGTCTCTTGAAGCCCAGTTCCAGACTTCCCGAGCGGGCTATCGACTTGACTGATCTCGAGAAGACCAAGGAGATCGTCAAGGAGCGTCTTTTCACCTGCTTTCACCCGGCAGGATCTTGCGCTATGATGCCTGCCGAGCTGGGCGGTGTGGTGGATTCCAACCTGAAGGTTCACGGCACCCGAAACCTGCGTGTCGTGGATGCCAGTGTCTTTCCCTTGGAGCCGGCTGGCAATATCCAGGCTACTACTTATGCCGTGGCGGAGCGGGCGGCCGATTTGATTCGTGGGCTTTGATCCGGTAGATAATATCGCTGTACATAGGACAGAAGCAGAAGTTTGACGTTTAAATGCATTCATGTGTCGATGGCAGGGATCAGGTAATTCGCGTTTATCTTGGCTGGAACTCGAGGTTGCGGGCTCTTCAATGGTTCGCTCTTGTATATATCGTATTCAAAAAGTAGATTAGCCCAGCTAGTCGTAGTAATAACCACAACTAGGATGGGGGAGTAGCGGTGGAAAAAGGACTTGAAGTATATATTCTTAGTGGGACCGCCTCGAAGGAAACATGGGAAATTTGGTATCCTTCTTACCCCCTTCTAGGTCCAAAGCCCCAAAATGTACTAGTAACCGTACATTCACAAGGCTAGTAAAGGAAAAGAACATTTGCAATACGAACAGCCAACGTGGTAGTCTAGTGAATGTGTTCGATGATTCAAACATCATTAAACTCGTTTCGTTAAGTAGAATGGATATTCGGCCCCACGTTGTTCCGACAGCCACCGGCGGGCTGCCCAAACGTGTGATCAGCATCATCAGCATCATCAATTTAGTAAGTCAGTCTTGACTGCGCCGATTAGAATCGGTCCTTTGCTATTCCAGTTGCTAAAAACCAATCTCTTGGGTTTGGCTTCCGCGGTCGTGACTCGGCCAGTTGTGGTATAGCTCTACAATCGTCCCGGTGGCGATACAGGCATTTCAAGAGAAAGAGAAGCACTCGATAAGCGTCGAAGGATGGATGGTCATTGTTAATGCTGCAGATGTCAGAGCTGCAGAGGTATTCAAGTCTGAAGAAAGTCCTGTGTTTTGGGGAAAGATATCAACCACAAACATGAGTGTTGTGGTATCGCAGGATGAGTGAACGATGCTCAGGCACGGTGACCCTAAGGAAACCAAAGCCAACATGGGATAAATCATCTGATAGACGACCCCTGCTCTTGCTGGAAGGAGTGGAGAGGCCAATTGCACTGCTAGAATCGTAAACTTTCGGGCCTTCCCGTCGTACAGGATGTGCCGGCCGGAATGTAACTCTACTAAATGAGCTTATTGCAGTAAATCTCCGTCTATTGTAACGGGAAAGTAAACACGAGGTTCATTCGGAGCCAAGCCAACCCAGTTGAAGAACAAGAGCAAACAAGCCCTATAAGACTGAAAACGAGGGACTCCTTACATGCTAGGGTAACTATACCACCCAACCATCCTCAACAAAGAAAATGCAGTGTATCTTAAAACATTACATGATCGACGTTCCGGGACCTGTGTGGATTAGTCAGGGGCGCCGCTTGACTACCACCTGGACCTCCCTTGTATTTGGCAAGGGATCTCTGTGGCCCGAAATATGCTGACTTTGACCGTGGTCAGGTGGCTCAGACTAGCTTCGCGAAAGCCCTTCCAGAGTACATGGATCTCATGGCTCATAGGAATCCTGCGATGGACGTCATTGAAATAGGAGCTGGGACAGGAGTGGCTACTCGAGTTTGTCTCAAAGCTTTGGGAGCTTCTGAGCATAACCCTGGCTCGAGGTTTGCCCGATGGGTTTACACATATATCTCCCGCTCCTTCTTCGGGAAGGCAACCAGTGAATTCGCACAAGAGGGGTCTCGAATGCAGTTTGAAAAGCTAGATATTGACATAGATCCAGAACAACAAGGCTTTGAAGCGGGCGAGTATGATATGGTCGTAGCTGCATGGGTATGTCGCTTTACCGTGACCCTACTTGTGCGTCTTGACTTACACAATGCCTCACAGATTGTCCATGCGACTGCAAGTTTGGAACGGAGCTTGACCAATATCCGTAAGCTATTGAAGCCGTCAGTTTATTCTTACCATTCTACATTCGCTGTTTCTAGCACTAATAAAAGTGAAATAGTGGTGGGAAACTCGTACTAGCCGAGGTGACAAATCCCTTCCACACTGCGGCAGCATTCGGACTGCTTGAGGGATGGTGGCTCAGTAAGTCTACTACACCTGCTGTCGTGATTGCTTATTTTGGCTGGTCATAGATAGTCCGTGCTTATTGGTTGGTCAGGCTCCGAATCCTATCGTGTTCACGGACCTTGCGTCGACCGAGACGGCTGGCATGATCTATTGCAGCGAACAGGACTCTCCGGCTGTGATGTGTACTTCCCAGACTCCGACGAAGAAACAGTCCATGAGCATGCAGTCTTAGTCTCTACCGCGGTGCAGGAAATCCCACCCAGTACCTGGAATCCTGGCATCGAGATAGTGTACGAACCGAGTGAGCCTAAGCAGCAGGCGCTCGCCAGCTTTCTTGAGGACAAATGCCAGTCACTCACTGAATCCAGGGTGTGCTGTTTACCATTGCAAAGTGTGTCTGTAGACACCCAAGATGTGCTTCGGGTTTTTATTCTTGACTTCGAGAAGCCCTTGCTATATAGCATGGGGTCAGCTGTCTACCAAAAGCTTCGGAGCCTCCTTACCACTTCTACAACTACACTTTGGGTAACAGCATCTACTGAACTCCCTGCGCCTGATCCGAGGCTCCATCTCATTGACGGCTTATTCCGTGTCTTGTCCCAAGAGGACGGGAAGCAGCATCGATATATATTGTCCCTTGAAGGATCCACAAGACAAGCATCGATCGCAGCAATGATCCAGAATATTCTGCAGCCACCCCTACAGGAACTGGACACAGAGTATATCGTGCAAGACGGAAGGTTCCTAAATCCGCGGGTCTTCGACTGCGCGCCCCTTGAACAGGAAGTTTCAATGCAAACTGTAGGCGAACTTGAGTGCGAGCAACGATTCGGACAAGCTGAATTGCACTTGGACTCCGCACACTCAAGCATTTCCGAAGGCTTTCGATTCATAGAGGCTGAGCCAATCGACTGCTTGGGTGACATGGATGTTGAGCTTGAGATTCACGCGACCGGATTGAACTTCCGCGACGTCCTCACATCATTAGGCCAGATACCCAACGCAGTGGCTTGGAAGGAATGTGCTGGTGTGGTCACCAAGGTTGGGAGCAAGTGCTCGAAGTTCAAGCCAGGCGATCGGATCGCCGGGATTGCGCCTGCGTCTTTCCAGGCCCGAACCAGATTCCGAGAGGACACACCCACGCCAATTGTTCACATCCCATCTGGGATGTCTTTGGCCGCAGCCTCGGGAATCGCAACAAACTTTTTGACAGCTTGGTACTCACTCACAGATGTGGCTCGCATTCAAACTGGAGAGTCAGTATTGATTCACTCTGGGGCTGGTGGTACAGGACAAGCTCTCATTCAACTGGCAGTACACTGTGGGGCAGAAGTATATACCACTGCGCCGTACGGCCGGTTCGTTAAACTAGGACTGAAAGATATCTTGGAAAATGCTAAACTACCAATGGCACAATTCCGAAACAACGTCACCTATAGGTTTTTTGACTTGTCATTGGTGCTGCGGGATCGCCAATTGCACGTCCGCGCTGCACTAGAGGCCGTAATGCGCCTAATGGGTGAGGGAAAACTTCATCCCCAGGAACCAACGCTTGTATACGGTGTTAGTGAACTGGAAAAGGCGTATCGACATATGCAGTCCGGGAAAAACCTTGGTAAGATAGTGATCGAAATGCGCCACACCGATATCGTCAAGGTACGCGTACCGTACCTTACCCCTTTCGAAAGATCCAACTAACAGATGTTGCCCACAGACCGTGATAAAGTCAAGACCAAACTCCTCCTTCGCGTCTAATGCCACCTATCTGATTGCTGGTGGTTTGGGCGGCCTAGGCCAAAGTATGATCAATTGGTTGGTTAGCAGAGGCGCTCGGAATATTCTCATCTTGTCTCGTTCGGGAGGCAAAGACGCCAATTCTCGAAAATATCTTGATCAGATGAAAGGAGAGGGGGTTAACGTTCAAGTATATGCGTGCGACGTTGCGGAGGAGGGCGAATTAAGCACAGCGCTGACCGACGCGGCGCGTCACATGCCTCCCATCAGAGGTTGTATACAAGCCGCTATGGTGTTGCAAGTAAGTTAACAAAGACGGATAGAATTCAGTGACTCGAAAAGGTGTGGCTAATGCATTCAATCAGGATGTTGGGTTCGAGAGTATGAGCCACGATGACTGGCAAGCGGCCGTCAGGCCCAAAGCACAAGGGTCCTGGAACCTCCACAAGCTTCTCCCGCATGGGCTTGACTTTTTCCTCATGCTCGCCTCGATGAATGGGGTAGTTGGGCATATAGGCCAGGCAAACTATGCCGCCGGGAACACATTCCAGGATGCGCTGGCCCATCACCGCAAAAGATGTGGAGAGAACGCCGCAACGCTTGACCTTGGGCTATTCACTTTCGCTGGACGAGTCGCCCGTGACCCAAAACTCCTTAAAATCATGCTAAGCATCCTTCCACACAAGCCTATCACCGAGACTGAATTCCACGCGCTTCTTGACGTATACTGCAACCCAGTTGTCTGCAAAGAGAAGGGGCTACCTTGCCAAGTATCGTTCGGAATGCGTCCACAAGATGAAGGTACAGCACTCAAGGCCTACTGGGTTGGAAAGCCCATGTTTCGGTATGTAGCTCAGCAGCGGCTATCGGAAGGGCAGCGTGAGCGCCAGGGCCAGTCCATTGATCTTCCAGCTGCATTCCGAGGGGCCGAATCATTGGCTGACGCAACCGCCGCGGTTATAAAGGCCTTGACCACCAAGCTTGCACGGACGTTGTCCGTGGAAGAGGACAATCTAAATGAGCATAAGGCTTTGCATCAGTATGGGGTTGACTCTTTGGTGGCCGTGGAACTACGGACTTGGTTCGCCAAGGAGCTCCAGGCAGAGGTTGCTACGTTTGATATTATCGGTCGCGCGACTATTACTTCCCTAGCCGGGGTTGCTGCGAGTCGGAGTAAGCTGCCTCGGGGTTGGTCCTGATTGAATATATCTCGTCACCATCTTGGTCATTAGCTAGACTTGAACGAGGGGATTTCTGGGACACTGTCATTTTATAATCGCATTGGATATTACATTATGCTATCCGTATCTTTGCTGTCAGTAAACCAACGTCATCATCTAACTCCGTAGGAGCTTAGTATAGAAACAGTCTTACGGATAGTGAAGGCGTGGCACCATTTTGTCTTACCTGGTGGATTCATGTTTAACTCCATAGCGGGTATGAGGTTGCGGCATTCACTTGATTTTCTTCCTCCCCTTCTCATGTCTCCAACTCGCATCTGCGACGAAGAGCGAAAATCTGGAAAGAGTCTTACTGCTTAGGAATTCTAGTCTACAGCAATGCTATGGTGTTGAGGAATGTGGCCCTTCATCCCTATATTGTTCTTGGCGCTGGCCCGATCGGTCAGCTGTTGCACGACCAGGGCCTAAGGAATTGTGTCTTTAACATTTCCACTATAGATGCGATGGCGTAGATGACCTTTGATCAATCAAGTTAGAGTATTCATCAAATATCCATATTTATCTAGAATTCGCAGTGTCCTTTCAGTACTTACCACTAAGGCGCATGGACTAAGTACTAATAACCACCCGTAGCTGGGTCATGCTGAGTGGATGCAAAAATATATTCCGTTACCCCATTCGACCCACGAGGTTCAAAGCACAAACAACCGCCTATGTTGTACATGAGTGATTTGACATTACTGGCTCATTCGCAGGTGAAATATGTGAACCATATGAAACGCGGTTACCAATGCTCTCTCAGTGTCTGGCTTTACAAAGAGAGTAAAGGTAGTATACGCTGAAACCGGCGGAGAAGTGGATAACACAACAGGAAGCGCTTGTCGCATGCGGCATGACTGCCAAAAATGTACAAATGCGTCTTAATCCTACTAAATCTCGATGCAAAATTATGTGTTCGAATGATATAAATGCCTTCAATCATTAAAACGTATACAGTATCATTTAATGCTTGACATAATATACAGATCAAGTAGTCGTTGAACAAGAACGATATCTATCGCGTCTTCCCACCACAAGTGGGGTTGATTATATTTACAACTCAAGACCGACCGGATTAATAGTCAGTGGCTCAAGAAAAAGCAGCAAAGCAAGTGCTGTTGGCCTGGGACTCCTCCCAGCCAACACACTTCCAGCAGCTCAGCAGACCGGTAGGGTCATACTTGCGCTTGATGGAAAGGAGCTTGTCGTAGTTGTCTCCCCACCAGGCCTCCTGCCAGTCAACAGTGAAGGCGTTGGCCTCGTTGCTGTAAGCACCACTGCCGGGGGTGATGCGCTCCAGGGTAGCGGTCATGTTCTGCAGAGTGGCAATCTTCTGCTCGCGGGTCTGCAGGGTGCTGTTCCAGGCCCAGCTGCTGCCGGAACCCAGCTCCCAGACGGACTTGCGCCAGGCGGGGGAGGCACTGGTGGAGCCCTCAGTGTAGTTGTACAGGACGGGAGCGACGACAGGGATGTAAGGGGTTTGGCCGTTGGCGAGGATAAGCTCGAAGAACTCCATCAGGTTGGAGCGACCCTCGGATGTCTCGAAAACGTCGGTAGGGACCAGGCGACTACCAGCGAAGTGGGTGACACCAACGCTGACGGAGCTGGAGGTGACGTACTTCTCGTAGAAGTCGTACCAGGAAGAGAAGGCCTCGATGACGGCGGAACCACCCTGAGCCTTGGCATAGGCGGCAACCTCAGCCATGGACGCATTGGCTTCAGCGACGGAGAGCAGGGGGGAGACGTTGACGAGGGTGTCGCCAGTGACGTGACCACCCCAGCCTTCCTTAGCCCACTTCAGGGTGTTGTTGACAACAATGTCCATGAAGGGGAGAACGTTGGTGGAGTTGCTGGTGAACTTGATGATGGCGGCCACGAAGCTGACGGTAGGCTCGACGCGGTGAGTGCTCTCGAGGACAACACCAAAGGTACCACCACCGCCACCACGCAGGGCCCAGAAGAGGTCCTGGTTCTGGCACTCGTTGGCAATGCGCAGCTCGCCATCAGGGGTGACAACCTTGAACTGGACGACACGGTCGACACCAAGACCATAGACGGGCGAAAGGACCGAGTGGCCACCGTTCATGACCCAACCGCCAGAAAGACCGACGGTGGGGGAGTAACCACCGAGGATAGTGACGTTGTTCTGGTGAGCGAACTCGTAGGCTTCATCGAAGTTAACACCAGCACCGGCAGTGATGGCGTTGTAGGAGGCCTGGCAGCCATCGGGGACAAAGGCGGGGCTGTAGCTGAGGTTCTGCAGCTTGCGAGTCCACAGGGCCAAGGTACCCTTGCCGCTGCTGCGGGTCAGATAGTCATGACCACTGTTCTTGATGGACAGACGAGTGCCAGAGCAGTTGGAAAAGTGCAGAGCGTGGCGGACATCGGAGTCATCCTTGACCTCGATGTAGTAGGAGGGCATGTTACCCTGACGGCAGGTCTGGTTGACAAAAGCCAGAGGATCGGTGGGATCGCTGCTATCAAGCAGACATTGATCCTCAGGGTTGGATGAGCACATCTCATCCTGGTTGTTCATGTAACCATTGGGAGAGTTGGTGCGGAGGTAAGGGTCGGTGTAGTTGTCCTGGATTTTGGCACAGGCAGCATCGTTGGGAGTGACGGACTGGCCGTTGTAGTTGGAGAAGCAAGGGAGGGAGAAAGGCGTCAAGGGCTGCACACGACCCTGAAGGGTAGCGTTGAGGCTATCCAGAGTGCATGAGCAACCACAAGCGGAGCTCAGTCCAAAGAATTGGACGGCCAGAAGGGCCAACGAGGTCTTGGAAGGCGAAGGCGTCATTCTTCAGGGCTGCCACGCGACTGTGAGACAAACTCGGCGGAAGGGAACGGGGTAAACAGCGACGATCGCGACCATTTGAATGAACGGTCGGGGCCAACGTTCAGGAGAATTTTTCTTACCTTCGGGAAAAACGGAATGAACGGACCAATTCAATGTCTCATACGATTCATACGATTCAAAGCTATTGAATTCTGGGTGGGCAAAGGTTGTGGGTTGTGGAGGAAGAATTGCTTGGTAGCTGGAGGATGCGAGATGCGGCAGTTGGGCGACATACGCCGCAACCGGGCCCGTAGCTGTGAGGAAAACCCAAGGAAGCTGCATGGAGTTTTAAGTGGACCCTCTGCTCCACCATGGTTGGTATAAACTATGTAGTGCCACCAATCATAAATGTTGAACGGGTGGAATCTTGACGCAGGTCCCCGTTGGGGCTTGTTGGTAAGTGGAGTTAGGTTTCGGTCGACGTCCGAAGCTTTTCCTTGAATGCACACCACCACGTTGCCCTCACACAATAGATCGTGGCTGCCTTCTTCACCCTACGCTAGATTACCACGGAGTACTAGTACTCCGAGAAGTATTAGACCACTACTACCATTATGTACCTGCACAATTGGACCATGTGGACACCATCTGAGACCAGCGTCTCAAATTGATTGCACCACGTTGTCTCTCGGGTTTTCTTCGCTCGGTAACTATCTTCCTGCAGGAAGACCCCTGAAGCCCATCGCAAGGCATGCCGGCATAGACCACGCGAAGGGATTTATCCACACACCACCGATGATCCTTGCCATGTCTCCCCTCACCCCCCCAGAATCTCAGCTGATGGATTGCTGGGGTTTTTATCACCACCAGATATACGCTGATGATCGCAGTGGTACGGACCAGTTCCAGCGGGACGCACAGCGCATTGAACACGGCGGACAGAAAGATCGACCTCTGAACCACGGTCGCAGACAAGCCACCTCGATCAATTATCGCCGCTTACTCAGTGTCAATCTATTCTGGTCTCAGTCCTGGCTCGTCAATCTAGCGGCGGAGAAAGTTAAAAAAGTTAAAAATCCGCCGAGCCGTGGAAATGAAAAGCCAATGAATCCTGCATCCGCTTCAAATAGTCTTGCACAAATTAGCGGACGCCTTCCCAATCTTTATCGTAACTCCGACCGGGCTGAGTCTGAGTTAAAGAATCGCATCCCCTTGCCCTTTAGGTTCTGGTGGCGACGACAGCCCTTTCGTAATATTATTCATTAAATCGGATCCTTCTTGCACAGAACCACAAAAGACCACAAATCCCCCTCTTCCCCCCTCCCTGAAATGGGAAACTTATATGGGAACGCCTGACCCGCCTGGTCGCTGCTCCCTGCATCGCTGACTCGTATCGCCGGCCGTGCAGGATGACTTACGAAGAGAATCGGTACTGGAAGAATGTCCTGACCATCGTACCCATCATTGGTGCTGCCCTGGCCACCGTTTCGTATGTCCTGCGCCTGTATTCGCGGCGCTTCACCACCGCCGGTCTGAAAGTGGAGGACTGGTTGATGGGCGTGGGCTTGATTCTCTCCTACTGCGCAACCGCCTTTGTTGTGGACAGTGAGTTGCTCGTCTTTTCCATACATAGCTGGCCGACCGAATGAATACTGATTTTTGCTGCGCATATAGCTGCATTCAATGGCGTGGGCTTACCAGTTAGCTCTCTGCCGGCCGACGAACGGCTACGTATTCAATTTGTATGTTCTCAAGGGCGACACTTGGTTTGCGATGGCACTCACTAACCTATGTACGAAACTGATACAGGGTTCGTGGATGATTCAGAAGTTCTGGGCGCCGTCGGCTGCGTTTGTGAAGATATCGATCGTCGTGTTCCTGAAGCGTCTACTAGGAACGGTGCGCGCCTATGCAATTATCTCGAACGTCCTAATGGGCTTTATTGCCTGTTGGGCCCTCTCGGCCCTGCTTGTCAATATCTTTCAGTGTACTCCAGTTCAGTACTACTACGACAAAGATCTCAACGGACATTGCATGAGCGGTCAGCGAGCCTTCTTCCAGGCGATGGGAGCGATTTCTTTGGTTGAGGATGTCATTGTCCTGTGTCTACCCACACCTATTGTTTGGGGGCTACAGATCACCTTTCGTCAGAAAATTGCTGTGACGCTCGTGTTCTCCCTGGGTGGACTGTAGGTTATCCTGT